TTCTCAATTTTACTACGCCTTCGTCTATATCGTCATCATCTGTAATAGCAGCTTCCGTACTTTTTTTCCTTTTAAGGTCTCTGAAAATCCCCATTTGTTTTTCTATTTCGATCGCCTCGTTACATCATTCCACCCATATATGTTTTTGTATTTTAACCAAATATAAGTCAAAAATATCACGTAACACTGACTTATATGACACTTTTTTGCAACTAGTCATCCACTTTTCATTTATAATTCCTTTCGTAACCTCTCTAAGCATATTATCTAATATCATGATATTCGATTTAATAGTCACAATATCCAATAATGTTAATCTAAAATTATTAATCTCATTATCGTCTTCATCTATCATCACATAATTTAGAATTTCCTCGATACTATCTTTGAATAATTGGAATTCGTTGTCTTTTGCATTATTTTTACCACATGTCTATAAATGATTCCATGACTCAACTTCCAATATACATCTTGGACATTTGTTATTTGAAATTCCCCAGACTTTCCTTTCATATAAAACTTCATAAGTTGGAAGTATTTTAAAAAAATTTTTAACTCTAAATGACCTAATCGAAGCATCTATGCTATTTGTTATGTTCCTATTCGTTGATATTTCGTTATTTATAAGTTTAAGGGATTCTTTCCAATCTATTGTTACGTTCGCACCATTACATTCAATAATACAATCTTTGACGTAATCAAGTAAGACAATATCGATCCTGTTTATGTTATTACTAATCTCCTTGAAACATTTTCTATAAGCACCTTCTATAGGATTATAATTCCATCTTAACGCGTATTCATCTATCACTATATTGGTATATTTGATGACTACTTTTTTAATTGAATGTTTACATCTAATCAATTCTTTTTTTAGAAATGGTAATTTTACATCCCTCATCGTTACCATGGTACTTGTTTTCTTGTTGTTGATTAGTAATTTGATGTTTTTTAGATCTAACATTGTATTAATACAATTAAGAAACATATAACATTGATCATCCAATTCATGTCATACGCTTCCTATCTTACTATACTCTATCAACCAATTTAATATTTTAACATCAGTCCTTAAATCTACTATTGTATTATCAGGTATAATAATTAACGCTATTATTATACCTATGGCATAATTTCTTGTTTTAATAATCTTTCCCTCTACACTAAACTTTTCTATATTACTATTCTTCGCAAATATTTCGATCCCAAAAAAACCATCTAAATTTAAATCCAACCCTTTTTGTATAATACCTCCTATTTGTAATATAATTTCTTTTCCTATAAAATCAATAAAATTAGTATTCACAAAGTTTTCTAAAATAGTATATATTCCCATTTCTTCTAATATATTTTTTAACCATAATTTAGCACTTGATCGTAAGATAATATCTTCTTTATCAATAATCATATCGTCTATTGGATTACTTTCATTTTGATTTATTGATTTTTTAAAATTATTATCATTTCTTTTGTCAATATTTTGAAGTGTAAAAAGGACCCCGGATATCTAATATAAAGGTCATAATGGACTTTTGGCCAAAAACACCCCTTTTTGCTGAAACTCAAAAAATCGTTTTTTGTAAATATCTCAGCATCCAGTAATTCAATTTTAATGAACTTTTTTTTTATTTTGTAGCCCTCATTTAGCTCTACAATATAAAAAAAAGTTCATCAAAATTAGACCACTGGATGCCGAGATATTTACAAAAAACGATTTTTTGAGCCCCTGAAAAATGGGCCAATCTGCCGAAAGTGTGACTTATGACCTGTTTTGGAGATATCCGGGGTCCTGTGTAAAATATGGTTTTATATATTTCATTCCATCTTCATCTTTTTCCCATCTTCCTTGTAATGTTGAAGCAATATCTTTTTCTATATATATAAAACAATATGACTTATTATTATTTTTCCTACTTATATTGTATTCACAACCTTGACAGTTAATTAAGAAAGGAGAATTATTTGAATTGTTATTATTTTGTAATTTATCATATTCTACCATATGTTTACCGATTTCTTCATAGTAATGATGTCATGATTTCTTTGATCTTATACTATAAATACTATTTATGTCATTTTCCTTTTTCCACGTTATTACTTCTTTGTTACTTTCTTTTCTACTTTTTTGTTTTTCATCTTTACGTATATTTACTATTTTTTCTTTTTCCAATTTTTTTATCAAGATCTCATTATTTAACTCTCATTTTAATATACCATTAATTGTTATATGATCTTTAACAATTTTAAACCACTTTGGTTTAATTCTTAACAATAAATTATTAGTTTTCAAAAAATGTGTCCATTTCATCATCTTATTTGTATACGGCTCTAATAATTGTTCAACAAATAAAACACCACAATTTCTAATTCTATTCTTATAAAATTTATATTCATTTTCTAATACTTCTTCTATTAAGATGTTACCACCTTTGATTCGATGATTTTTAAATAAATCATCTTGATTCTCGTGATCACATAATCTAAAACTTTTCTTCTCTAAAGTTATCAAAGCGTCTCTGATAAATCTTTTCGTTGGAAATTTAATTTGAGATACTTTTTCAGCGTAACATAATGGCGTCCACACATCTTGTTACAACTGTTCCATTTGTATTTTAAATAGTTTTTTTAATGTTTCATTACCATTAGCCATATACATAATATTTTTACTTAAACTTTCTAGTTGTAAACTATATAAATCTTTCACACTGTACAAATCTTTATCGTAAATAATACAATTTGGTAATGAGCTGGACATCTTACATTTGTGTTTAATTAACATATTAACTGGAGCCATTAAATGTTTCGCTTCCGTTTCTATAATCACTACTCCCAATAATTGATATTCCAATGCCGGTATCATATTAATATTCCACAATTTACATACTTGTTTATCTGTCACCACTTTTCTTTTCATTATCTTCACGAAACCTTCGATCATGTCTTTAATCTTTTTTATATGCACTAATCTATTATTATTATGCGTGAAAAATATTCCAAGAAATCTATTACCATCCTTTAAGTTGATTTTCTCTATTTTTTGTCCTTCTATAATCATATTACATTTTTCTGTGTCGTTTATTCTAATGATTTCATATTTTTTGGATTTGCTTTTATATCATTTAATTTATAGAAACTATGGCATATCTCCAACATGTCCGTCATTTGATCATGTGATCTACTTATAAGTGTGGTATCGTCCATAAACGCGATCGCGTTGATTTTAATACTATGTTTCATTATTTTGTCTTCCATTACATCTTCTTTAAATTCTACATCAATTTCATAACCATAATCTTCTCTTTTGTCATTTAATTTGCATAATAACGGGTTGTAAAAAATTCTCCAAAGTAATGGAGACCATACCTCTCCTTGGTCGATACCGTCTTCTACTTTATATTCTTCAGTTAGATCATTATTTACTATTACTCTATTAAACCTATTGTGAGATATATCTAAAACTAAATTAATCCATTGTTCCAGTAATTTGATACGTTCCATAGCTTTCTTTAAACTAATCGAGCTGACTGAATCATACGCTTTGCTTATATCCATCAGAACTATCCACATTTCTTTTTTGTTAATGTTTGCATCTTCAATAATAGCCTGTAAAATTTTTATTGGTTCAAATGTACTCTCAAATTTTAACGCCGCGTAATTCTTTCCTCTTAAAACTCCATTCTTCGTAATTATATCACTGAGTCGACTAGTCAGAATTTTTATCGCAATTTTCCTCGCCGTTTCGATTAACATTATAGGACGTGTTAATTTTAGGTCCCTGTTCCATTCCATTGTTTTTTTGATCGGGTATATAATTCCATCTTTCCATTCTTTTGGCCATATTCCTTCTTTAATTGCTACATTGATTATATCAATTAACAACTTTTTTGTACTATTTCCACTTTTTTCCAAAAATCATAAGGGATACCACTAGCTCCAGCCGCTTTATCATATTTAATACTTTTTAAAATTGTGTCATATTCTTGTACTGTTACTTCATCACACAAATGATCGTAAATATGATCGTCAATTTCTTCTATATGGTCATAATATCATTTCCAATTCCTCTCGTATTCCTCATTATCAAATTTTTTTTCACGAGTCCAATTTTTATAATTTTCTTTGACTTCATTTTTTATTTCTTCGTGATTTGTAATCATCTTAATTCTCACACGTTAAATGATCAAAAATAGGCAAAAAAAATGGCGCAAATCGCATAAACTATTCGCAAATTTGTATAAACTATTTACAAATAGTATAGGTTAATTCGTAAATAGCCAAAAACAGCCAAGAATAGCCAAGAATAGCCAAGAATAGCCACTGCTTTTCGCGCCATTTTTTTGCCGATTTTTAGCATTTCGACCTGTGTCTATCGCTGTGTTTTTGTTGGCAACTGTCTATTTTGATTTGTCCTTTCCTTTTATCCATTATTCTAATGATCATTTCTTTTAAATCTGTTGTCATCATATTTTCACGTTCACAGGTCAAAAAGTGAAAAATCAGGCATCAATCAGTCACCAATCAGGCAGTTTGCTAACATTTGATCCAGTGATCAGAAAAAGATGAAATATAGCTCATTAGAATCGTCTCAGCAAGACGAATCTAATGGTAGTAAAATCGCATTTCTAGGATTAATACCTGATGAGAAATTAAGTAAAATATAAAAATAAAAATGTATCATTTATATTTTATTTAATTTTTATTAACTATTAATCCTAGAAATGTGATTTTACTACCATTAGATTCGTCTTGTTGAGACGATTCCAATGAGCTATATTTCATCTTTTTCGGATCACTGGATCAAAAGTTAGCAAACTGCCTGATTGGTGATGGTATTTGGCGAAAATGCCAATCAGGTGCCAATCAGGCACCAATCAGTCACCAATCAGTCACCAATCAGCTACCTGATTGGTGACCGATTGGTGCCTGATTTTTCACTTTTCGACCTGTGGTTGTTCGATATTTTTATCAATTTCTAAACTTTATTCGTGTAATTTTACATTTTATAAGTCACTATGTAGCCTATTTTTCTCCTTTTCCAGATAAGATTTAACTTGATCTAGTTTTTTTGTATCGTCTAAACTGTCATACAGTTTTTGTCCATCTTTAACACTAAGCGTTACTCTAGCGTTAACTATATCTGTAAATCTGTAAACTAATTTTTTGTAATTTGTTATCACTTTCCTTTCTTTTCCGCTAAATTTTATCATAAAATCTAGATCTCGTCTCATATTCGCATTGAAACTATTTTTTTCTATAACTAATTTGTCCCATGTCTTTAAACATTTTTCTAATTCTATTATTATATTTAATTTAATTTTTACACGTTCACATTCTGACATATTCTTTATATCCGTTTCATATTTCTTTTCCCCAATCATTTGTTTATCCTTTACTTCTTTTCTTGTATTTGTTATTTCATTGACTATTATATTCTTAAGAGTTACCCACTTCTTATCTATATCTCTTATATCTTCTTTGTTGTTGTTTTCATTTTCATCAATATTCATGTGCTTTTCAATATTGTCTTCAACCTTTTCCGCTATAAGTTCCCAATCTTTGACTGATAATTTACTTTTGAATATTCCCATATCATTATTGCCTTTGTTGTTTGTTGTGGTTGTCTCATTATCAATTTTAATCGTAATCGTTAACGCTTTGTGATCTGTCATTAATCTTTCTTCTATATTTAATACTTCATGTTCCTCGATTCTATTTAACAATTCATTATTGACAAAGATATAATCTATTCTTGTACATATATTTCCATTTGACCACGTATCCATTGGTTCGTCATTATTAAAATATAGATGTATGTCTATCATATTATTGTCATCTAACATATCAAGAAATATATTTTTATCTTTTTTCTTGGTGGTTTATCTCCTTTCATTGAAATCTCCCATTACTAGTATTACATCTAGATCATTATGTTTTGCATTAACAATCCATTTTTCTACCGTTGTTGTGATTTCGTTCTTACGATTTTTATTGTTTCCAATCATATATATATTTATGATTCTAATTGATCTCTTTTTTCCTTTAAGTAGTACGTCTATAGATTGCGCATAACCTTCTAATTCTTGGTAATTTATCATGCATAATTTAGTCCAAAGTTTTTGTATAAGTAATTGACTCCCTTTACTTTTATCTTCTTCTGCGCTATTATTTCTAATTTTCATATTTTGCCAATCTCTGTATATATACTTTCCTTTTGATTTTTTAATTTTCATTTTGTTGATACCATCTATATCCCAATTTTCTTTTTCAATAAATTCTTTTAATTTTTGTTGTTTGTTATTTTTCCCTTTTTCATCGTTTATTCCTCTAATATTTAAACACCCTATTTTTATTTTGTTGTTGATTTTTGAATTATTTTTACCTTTTTTTGAATTATTTATGTTTTTATTTTTTTTAATATATTGTGTTAAATTTTCTTCATCTTCTAATTCGAAATCCATCTCCTCCTCCCTTATTAAAGGTAATGAAGTTGGTTCAATATCTATGTCCATAATGGATGTCGTTCCCTCTTCTTCTGTTATTACCGTAATCTTGTCGTCTATAATTGTATCCATTTCCATTTTGTCTAAATCCGTTGGTGTCATTGTTGATGTCATCTTTATTGTATTGGTTGCTTCGTCTTGTATCGATGTCTCTTTCGTGCGTGGTTCTATTATATCCATTACACATTGTATTTTTTTAGTTATATAGATTAGTTATATAGATAGTTGCGGTGACTGTTGCGATGTACAGTAGTTGCTCATGTAACGTTAGGTTTTTGCAATCAAAATAAATTATAAATTTTAATTTTTAATATATCGCAGATACTGTATATTAAAATTATGATTATACAATGTTTTAAAAAATGATTTTTTTTTAATCATCCCAAATTGGGATTTTTTTATAATAATTTAGTTTAAATTTTATTCATATTGTAATTTTATGTTGAGTCTTACTACATTGAATTAGTATTATTCCCACTTCTAGATGGCACAGATGAGTCTTTGATTATATTATCGAAACTTTTTATTGCATTAATATCTTTGTCTTTATAGTGACGAACAAAGGCAGTTCGAACAAATTTAGTAAATTTTGCCATATTAGTATTTGTTTAAAAAGTTCTTATCTGTTGCCAGAAATCCATTGTGCTAAAACGGCAATCGTCACATTATCATTACTAATAAAGTCAATGATTTCTTGTTGATTTATGACGGTGATCAATTTGCTTTCCCTATATTTTTCTGGATCTGAATTTATATCTCAAATTTTTTTAGGCCGATCACGAGCCATTTGTAAAAATTGCAGAATAATTATTATAAAACAACACTTATTTATAATTTATTGATAAACTTTATACTAATATATTGACATAAATTTTAAATAGTTTATTTATGTTAATAAGCTCATTTAAGGAAAATTAGACTTAAAATAATTAATTCACCGATCAACAAATTCTAAACTTTATACAATTTCTTTGAATTTTGTAGTTTTTAAAAAAAAAATAATGTCATTTATTTTTAAAAGATTTAATTGTAAGTTATATCAAATTGTTAATTAACTATAATAAAAGTCTAATAATCTAATTATTATGTTTAATATTATATTATATTTATCATATTAATTATAAAAAAAATCTATTTTCATCTAGTCATTATTATTTTTTATCACAATAATTATGGTTTGATACTTTGAACCATTAATGCCTGTCTTCATGTCGTGCATAACTACCAATCAAATTTTAAGATCAGGTGTGTAACTATTATAACAGATAATGATAAGCTTTTATGTTACGTTACGTTACGTTACTATTATAATAAATTCATATCTTGAGACACGCTAACAATTTCTGTTTCCCTAATTTTAAACCACTTTATTCACTTCTTTCTCAGCGAAATGCTTCCAAAAAAGCAACTAATAAACATATTTTTAATTTAAGAGCTCGATACATCAATAATAACACTCAATTACAAACTTTAATTATCAATTACTAAAAGTCTAAAATATTTATTATAAACGATCAACACTGCGGATTTCCTCCGGAATTTTTTCGGGTCGCTCTGATTTTAGAGAAATGTAGTATAATTAATGATCGACAAAATACATTCATGCACAATAGTAATACCTGCTGTAGCACGTAACACAATTGACATACTTAAATGCGCAATCACGTTTTAGTAGAACCAGCCGTAATACTTTCATAAAAAAAAAAAAAAAACTTTAACAAATTTAACAATGTCTGAACCTATTGTACCTATAACAGTTACCGGAGTTTCATACAATGAGGATATTAATTGGATTGAAGAAGCTATCGGTAAAAAACATATTAAATATTATGAATTTGAGAACTTTAACAATATTGAAGAAATTGGTTCGGGAAGCTTCGGAAAAGTCTATCGTGCGAACTGGAAAAATTCTCATAGTTTTTTAGCTTTGAAATCCTTTTTTAATTTAAACAATGCCACAATTAAAGAAATTGTCAATGAGGTAATAATAAACATAAAAAAGTGCATGTCTTTATTATTATAATTCTAAAATTTTAAAATTATACTCATGATTTAGCTTAAACTTCAGCGTGAAGTGGATTTCCATGAGAATATTATTCGTTTTTTTGGTGTTACGACAGGTATGATTATTATTTTATTTGTATAATATCACTTTGTAAAATTTATCTTAGCGTTAAATGATTTTTTTTTAACAGAAAATCAAAATAGTTATAATGGTAATTCAAAAAATTATTGGTTAGTAATGGAGTATGCTAATAATGGTACTCTTCAAGCGTTTTTAAGAAATCATTTTAATATTCTTACTTGGAATGATAAATATAATATGTCACTTCAGTTGGCTCATGCTTTATTATGCCTTCATGATGAAGGAATCGTTCATCGTGATCTGGTAATTCATTTACATTTTATTATTTTGTATCATATCATATATGTTAATCAATTAATTTATTTGATGTATATTAATAGCACTCTAAAAACGTATTAGTCCATCGAAATACCATTAAGTTGGCTGATTTTGGACTATCAAAAAGAATTGATGAAACATATAATTCACGATCAGATTTATTTGGTGTAGTTCCATATATTGATCCAAAAAAATTCGATTTTCATCCATACTCTTTAAACAAAAAAAGTGATATTTATAGTATTGGAGTGCTTCTGTGGGAGATATCAAGTGGTCAGCCACCATTTAGAGGAAAATCATCTTATAGTTTAATTGTACAAATTCCACAAGGTCTTAGAGAAACACCTGTTCCTGATACACCCACCACTTATGTAAATCTTTATACTGGTAAATATTAATTTGAAATGTTATAAAAGTCAATGTATCATTATTCAATCTAATAAAATCAATTTTTTTTAGAATGTTGGGATGGAGAGCCGGATAAACGTCCAATTATCAAACAGATAGTTGCTAAGTTAAAAGCATTTATCTTTAATGTGATGATTGATGAAATAATTAATCTCCCTAATAAGACAGGGGATGAAGTAGAAAAACAAGAAATTCTTAATTATCTTAACAATCATAATGTGACTTCAAATGAAATTTATAATTGGTTATTAAATGATCAGAAGAATTCAAATTCTATTGTTCTACTTGCAGCTTTTAATTATTTTGGAATTGAAACTGATATTGATAAGAGAAAAGCATTTGAATTATATAAAAAGGCTGCAGATTTAGGAAATGCAGATGGAATAAATGATTTAGGTTATTGTTATCATTGGGGAATTGGAACTGATATTAATAAAACAAAGGCATTTGAATTATATCAAAAGGCAGCAGATTTAGGAAATAAATATGGAATGATTGGTTCAGGAATTTGTTATGAATGTGGAATTGAAACTGATATTGATAAGAGAAAAGCATTTGAATTATATCAAAATGCTGCAGATTTAGGAAATTCATCTGGAATGTATTATTTAGGATATTGTTATCATTATGGAATTGGAACTGATATTGATAAGAGAAAAGCATTTGAATTATATCAAAAGGCCGCAGATTTAGGAAATGCATTTGGAATAGATTGGTTAGGATATTGTTATGAAAATGGAATTGGAACTGATATTGATAAGAGAAAAGCATTTGAATTATATCAAAAGGCCGCAGATTTAGGAAATGCATTTGGAATAGATTGGTTAGGATATTGTTATGAAAATGGAATTGGAACTGATATTGATAAGAGAAAAGCATTTGAATTATATCAAAAGGCTGCAGAATTAGGAAATGCTAATGGAATAATTAATTTAGGACGTTGTTATCAATATGGAATTGGAACTGATATTAATAAAACAAAGGCATTTGAATTATATCAAAAGGCTGCAGATTTAGGAAATGCATTTGGAATAGATTGGTTAGGACATTGTTATGAAAATGGAATTGGAACTGATATTGATAAGAGAAAAGCATTTGAATTATATCAAAATTCTGCAGATATAAGGAATGCTAGTGGAATTTCTTGAAAAAAAGACATTTGAATCATATCAAGGACTTGAAGATTTGGGAAATGCATCTGGAATAAATAATTTATAATATTGGTGTAAAAATGATATTGATAAGCATTTCAATTATGTTAAAGGTAGTATATTTAGAAACAGATAGAATGTATAATTTAGGAAATTAATATGAAAATAGAGTCAAAAATTATATTGATAGAGAAAAAGTATTTGAATTATTTTAAGGTAGTAAATTTAGAAATTATAAATATATATAGATCAAATAATTTATTCATTTTAAAATCTTACACAAATGAATTTGAAATTTTAAAGACTTTGTAATATGCTATCAGTTTTGATGGATGGTGGGAAAAATTGGTTATTTTTATTTTATTTTTTTTTTGTCAAAAAATAATATATTTATTTGTAACTATTAATCAATTTTGAACTTATTTTAAATAGGAACTTTTTTACTTTTTTTTAAAATAATTATATCTAAAAATTAGGCTAATTTAAAAGAAATAAAAAGTACCAAATGTATAAAATAAATTATGTTTTAAATATAATTTATAAGTTCTACTTAATCATAAATGTTACTGAACTTGTAAGGTAAAAATATATATGATTTAAAAATGTAACTGGAAAGGTGGTAAAATTAAACAGTAGAAAGAAAATTTGGAGTAAGGTAAATTTACATGTAAATCTTAAATATTTTATGGTGACCTCTATTAGAAGTAAGCGGGTCCTACTCTAATATTGAAGTAAATCATTTTTATTAATATCATATAATTATTTGTAAAGTAAAAAGCTAGCTAAAATCCAGCCACCAATACGCAAGATGAAGATTTATGGATTGATTCCATATATCACTAATTATACCCTATATAAAATATCCAACTTCAATATAGCAATTTGTAATCTGTAGTTAAAAATTTAGCATATTTAAGTGGTGGTTATAAACTAAAATTTAAAATATTCATGTATTAAATCCTTCTAGTATGGTCAATATTGGTGTAGTATCCATGGTACTACCCTATAAAAAAATCGGGATACGTTTTTTATAAAGTTTTTATACGATTTTTTTTCCTTAGAAATAACGTATCATAATAGGATATGGAAAAATGCACAATTCCGTATCACTAAAAATATGGTTTGGATACAGAATTTGCATGGAATTCATATGGAATTTACATGATTTGATCACTGATTTTATCACGAAATTTATACGATTTGGTCACTGAATTTACTATTTGTATTACAGTTTACTATAATATATTTACATAAATTTAATTTTACTTTATTAAATTAAATAAAAAATAAAAAATAAACAAAATACAAATACATTATGAAAATTCCCTCCTTATTAAAACCACCTATTGCAACCAAAATTATCTATAAGTTCAGGTTC